AAAATCAGCAAAACACTAGCTAAAGGTTAAGATTAGGAACACACTATGTATAGGTTAAGATTTGGAAAACACTAGCTAAAAAGCTAAATCAGCAAAACACTAACTAAAGGTTAAGATTAGGTAAACACTAACTAAAAGTTAAGATTAGGAAAACAATAGCTAATTGTTAAGATTAGGAAAACGCTAGCTAAAAGCAAAAATCAGCAAAGCACTAGCTAAAGGTTAAGATTAGAAAAACACTATGTATAGGTTAAGATTAGGAAAACACTAGCTAAAAGCAAAAATCAGCAAAACACTAGCTAAATGTTAAGACTAGGAAAACACTAGCTAAAAGTTAAGATTACGAAAACAATAGCTTAAAGGAAAAATCAGCTAAACACTAGCTAAAGGTTAAGATTAGGAAAACACTAACTAAAAGTTAAGATTACCATACCATTTTATTTATAGAGCACTTAAAACAGCGACAAGGCCAACCAAAGTGCTGTACAGACAGAAAAACAGGTAACACACAAAGCAAAATACAAAATGAAGTCAATCAGAAATATAGACATGAAAACGATGCAGATAATGATGACAAACCAGTGTGAAGCGTACAGGTTCAAAACACAGATCATCTGGTGTTGAATGCTACTGAATAGTAGTGAGTTTTTAAACGGGACTTGAAAACCGAGAGGGAGGGGGCCTGTCTGACAAGCAGAGGTAACTCGTTCCATAGTCTTGGTCCTGCTACAGAGAAGGCCCTGTCACCTCTGCGCTTAAGACGAGTTCCTGGAACTGTGAGGAGCAACTGGTTTATTAGGATTAGGAAAACAAGATTAGGAAAACACTAGCTAAAGGTTAAGATTAGGAAAACACTAGCTAAAAGCAAAAATCAACAAAACACTAGCTAAAGATTAAGATTAGGAAAACACTAGCTGAAAGCAAAAATCACCAAAACACCAGCTAAAGGTTAAGACTAGAAAAACACTAGCTAAAGGTTAAGATTAGGAAAAAACTAGCTAAAAGCAAAAATGAGCAAAACACTAGATAAAGGTTAAGATTAGGAAAATGCTAGCTAAAAGCTAAAATCAGCAACAACAAAAAAAACTAGCTAAAAGCTGACATTAACAATTGACAAAATGAAGAAAATAGAAGGTAAAAGATAATGTCAACAAGCACTTATCCGAATGTAATCAGCAGTCATAAAAGCTGAAATTATTGAAACAGTAGCTAAAATATAAAACCAGCGAAATACAAGCTAAAGGTTAATACTTGCAAAAAACTAGCTAATAGCAAAAACCAGCAAAGCCAAAGGTTAAGACTAGAAAACACTAGCTAAAAGCTAAAGTTTGCAAAAAAAAAATAACTTGATAAAAGCTAAAACACAAGCTAATAAAGACAAACCAGCATGTTCGACAGGAAGTGAATTCACTGAGTAGTTTGCAAAGAGCATCAATATTTTTATTCACTTATTTTGTTTAGGAGAAAATATAAATAATGTTAAATATCTTGAACTATATGAAAGTTATTAAAGCTAAATGTCTTAGCTAAAATGGTCTGGATGAGTTGAACTTGTTGAAATGCTGTGTTTAAAAAAACGTCCAGAAGAAGCTATAAAAAGTCAAATCCACAGTGTTGACTCAACATTCACTCAATGAGAAACGACCCCGAGGTGCAGACGTTGGTCCGAAGGTTTTGATTCTCGTGTTTTGGTGTTTTCCTCAGACGGTGAAGCAGGAGAGGACGTGGTGCGTGCGCTCGCAGAGCTCCGAGCTCCTCCAGGCTCTGCTGGCCTGGGTCAGGACACAGTGGGAGGCCATGTTCGGAGTGAAGCTGCAGACAAGTCTGCAGGACAAAGCAGCGTCGTTTTTGTGTTAAAAATAAAACAAATGTTCAGAGCATGAGCGAGCCTTTGTTTCCTCCCGTCACCCTCCTCGATGCTTTCAGCCAAGAAAGCTCCACATCCAGAACAAAATGACGCGCATCACGCTGAACTTCTCTGAAATGGACTGTGCTTTGTCATCGCTGCCACCGGAGGCGCCGTCGTTCATTTGTCTTTTAGCAAAATACCACATGGTTTAACACAGAACTGAATAAATGCTCAGAAGGTAACCCAGTGTTTCCCCTATCACTATACAAGCAGGGCACACCGCCCTGTCAACAGAACCGAGCGCCCACCATCCCGGTCACCAACTACCTGCACTGACGTAGCGCTAAGCTAGCAGCGCGAAATACAGACGTGATAGCTAAAAAGCTAGGTAGCGCTCTGCTTCCCTCACGATGAGCCGATTCCCAACTCCACATGAGTGCCCTGCCAAGACAAGTAATGTATGGGAAACACTGTAACCACCTACAACCAAATTCAAGGTAGCCAACACGGCTAATTGGAATTAGCCTATACAAGAACAAGTGAAACTTCCAGATGTGAAATGAGACTTGGTGTGGTAGTAGCTGAGGGTCATTCACAACACATGATCATGAGTGTAATTGTTTTTTTCTCCAGGTTTGACCAAAACAGCTAAAACTCCCTCATTTCTTCATCAGATCATGTCAGTCTACAGCTGTGGCGTGATGGGTGATATTCATCCCTCCACCATGAATTTCCTCGACAGATGTGCACCTTTTGGTCCTTAGAGTTTGGCTTAAGAGAGTTAGAGGTTTTGCCTGAAATGCCTGTCGCCCTCGTTGACCCGTTAATGCGCAGGGGTCCTCCGCCGGTGTCTCATTCAAGTGTCACATGCTGAGCCTCTCCAAGTCTCCAGCACCGTAACCGTTTCTCCAGTTAGAGTCTACACTTTGTGCAAGTGATCAGATCTAAAACAAGTTTAACTCGACGTAATTTCTTTGGTTTCCACAACAGACAGGCGTTCTGCTGTATGCTGCGTGCACGGAGGCTGATAAAACCCTTATTGTTGTCTTTACTTGTTTTCTAAAACTGATGTAAAGTGCTCTCGTTTATTTTTATATAAATGTATCATGAAAACTCAATGAGAAAAGTTGTGATTGTGTTATTTCACCATGCATACATCAGAAAGGTCAGCTTATTCTGGACAGTATGAATACAAATTTAGATTTTGTAGCTTTTGCACTTGTTGAAATACAGTAGTCCATCACTTATTGCAAGGATTATGTTCCAGACATCCCTGCGATGGGTGAAAATCTGCCAAGTAGGGACAGTATATTTATTTGAGTATTTATATATATTTAAGGCTTTATAAACCCTCTTCCCACACACTTGCAATGTTTTAAACTCTAAACACTCTATAAGAGCACAGTGAAAGAGAGCTAACGGCATTCGCTCCAATGCTAATATACATGTTAGTGCAAGAGCTAATGGCATTAGCTCTGGAACTAATGCTATTAGCTCTGGGGCTAATAGTGTTAGCTCCAGAGCTAATAGCATTAGCTCCAGATGTAACACGTGTTAGCTCCAGACCTATTAAACATTGTAGCCAGTGGTTAATTTGAACCGGATCCTGCCGGAACAAAATCCGGGAACTCTCATTTTGACCGCTCTGATCCGGCAACTCAAATCTCCACCCCCTAAAAGTCCAAAGTCATTGCGCATTTTTATTTTGATTATTAAAAATACAACGAGAGGAGATGTTGCCCAGTCTGTGGAGTGGATGTTCCGGCCGCACCACGCTCCTGCCCAGCAGAGATGCGGACTGCATGTCCCACGGGGAGCGTCTTCATCCACCTTCAACTGTGTGCCCTGATTGTTTTACGCACAGCGTCTCCAGACAGCTCTGCAGGACACACACACAACTGCTGTATCAGAACTCCTACATACATCACTGTAGTGCATAACATTTCAGACATAATAAATAAACTTACAGTAAAAAAAAAGAAAAATACAAGTGAAGTGTTCGATGTGTATTAACATCACGTATCAAAACAACAGAACTCAATTGTCAAAATAACAGTGATCAAAATGTCGAAAAGACCGTCCAATTTATTACTTAAAACAAAATAATGGAAGCATTGTCTTTAGCTGGACAACTGAGAATTGAAGCACCGAAGTGGCAGTAGAGACTGGAGCAGAACAACACGTAGGACTGAATTCAGCAGAGTTCGGGTCAGACTGTGTGTGTGTTTGGGGGGGGGGGGTGTTAGGACGCTTGACAGAATCGGAGCTGCATTCACACACACAGGATTGTTAATTGTTCTTTCACTCTAAAATAGTAATTTCATCCATCCATCCATTTTCTTTACCCACTTCTTCCAATTGTCCAACAATCACTGTGCGAGGAGCGGGGTAAACCCTGGACAGGTTGCAAATCCATCACAGGGCCATATACAAACAACCATTCACTCTCTCACTCACACCTAGGGACAATTCAGAGTTACCAATCAGTCTAACATACATGTTTTTGGTCTGTGGGAGGAAACTGGATTACTCGGAGAAAAACCATGCATGTACGGAGAGAACATGCATACTCCACCCAGAAAAGCCCCCAGACCGGGATAAGAACCAGGGACCTGCACG